ACTACACACAGCAAAAAAATGCACTGAGAAAATGCATTTTTTTTTTGTTTTAATAAAAGCACCTCAAGTGATCTGCCCCTAGTGTAGCATACAAATTACAATCAACAATCAATACGAAACTAACGATTTTAAATTGGCTCACCACTTTAGTAGCCTATTGGTCCCAAGCAAACGATTAACGTACCCTATTCTAGTTGAAATTCTATTACTACACTATGTTTGTTTTGATTCGCTATGAAAGTTTGACAGATAACATCAGGGGTGTGTTGATTCATGCAGAACATGCAGGGGTGAGTGAAATAGCTTGGGACTGCTTGGGACCGTTGTTCTGGTACTGGGTGAGCCAAAAATAATAATGATTTTCTTCGGGACCTACTAGTCTTAGAGTTACCTCTATGTTATAATTGCACCTACTCGGACGTCGTCATTCTGAAAGCATATGTAATAAATTTCAACACCGGGACGCTTCGAGTCGATCGCTTACTGTGTAAATGACAACCGATCAAATTACTCGATCGTTCTCGCCGAATGCAGTTAATTATGCTGATTGCCGATTTATAGTACGTTCAGACTACAGAGTTATAACATAGAGGTAACTCTAAGACCACTGTAAGTCTGGACAGCGTTTTACCAACAATCAATACGAAACTAACGATTTTAAATTGGCTCACTACTAGACTAGCCTATTGGTCCCAAGCAAATCGTTTAACGTATCCCATTCCAGTCAAAATTCTAGTACCACACTATGTTTGTTTTGATTTGCTATGAAAGTTTGACAGATAAAATGAGGGGTTATTGGATTTTCCTATGTTTCGAGGGGTGATTCAACTAGCTTGGGATCGAAGATAGTACCAGAGCTGAGCCAAAAAGTTGAGCACGTTTCTTCGGGACCTACTTGTCTTAGAGTTACCTCTATGGTTTTACTGCAACAATATCGTGAGGGCAGGGATGGATCTTTTAGGACTGTTTCGTTACTTTTTAATATAGAATGCTTAATTTAAATCCAATTGAAATTTTAGTTAAACCATCTTAAATTAGATAGTTTAGTGCTATTAATATCCCTATTAAAATTCAAAATATGCGCACTGTAGAGCCACACTCTGTGTTGTCACTGAAGGAACACTTGAGAGCGCTCTCGAGTATGGCTTCAATGAAAACGCAGAGTGTGGCTCTACGGTGCGGATATTTTGAATTTTGATAGGGATATTAATAGCACTAAACTATCTATTTTAAGATAGGTCCACTGAACATTCAATTGGATTTAACGTAAGCATTCTATATTAAAAAAGTAACGAAAAAGTCCAAAAAGAGCGATCCATCACTGCGTGAGGGTAAATATTTACCTATGAAGAGGTCTATTAATTTTAGTCGGAGAGAATGATGGTCTAAATGACCATTACACTAGCAGCCCGGTAAGTTTTTTTAAAGAACACTTGTCTGTAGAAATTCTGCAACATCAAAATGTCAGATGGTGTCGAGTGGTCTTCAATTAATTTTAAAAGCAATTAACAACCGCAACGGTATTGACTCATAAAATGCATTTCAATTAACGAATATCGTTCTCTTGGGAAAACAAACAATATTCACTTACCGAACGTTGCATATTTAAGGTGACTCTCCGTGCAAATCAATCGGTTTTACGGGCAATCGTCACCACACCGGTGAGAAAGAGTCACGTGGCTCACATAATAAGGGGAGAATGTTGCCTAATTTAATTTTAAAATTAAAGATAATATTGAAAAAAATAATAATTCAAATACAAAATAGGGCTTAGATTTAATTTCGGGACTACTAAGCCCTACCTAGGGTAAATGTCGGCTTCGGCACCCATTGACTGTTTTCGGCAACCAAAATTTAAACGATAATTTCACTATGTTTTCCCATCGACACACTTCCCTGAATGTATCCAAACGATTCTTTAGTCTTTCAGCTTCAATCTGATTATATTTGTACGACCGAGCAATCCTATTATGCCAGATTTTTCTTCAAATGAAGCATACGCACTACAAAATGGGGCTGATTTCGAGTTGCCGATAATAGAACAGCTGGTTAACACGCAGTTCTAATGGGAAGGTTGCCGAAGAAAAAGAGGCTGCCGACAATAGTCACACTCACCTGAGAAGTTTGGAGCATTGTAAAAACGCTTTCAAACCATTTTGAAAAATTCTGTCGATTGGAATGGATAGAGAAGCAAGCAGCAGATGAATGTTAACAAACAGACACGTGATATATATGCGTGACGCTGAAAAAATGCTAATAGAAGTGCGGACGCTGCTTAGATTGACGAGAATACGTAAATTCCCCTATATGAATTTGAATTGAAGCTTTTGAAATTTTGTTTAAATGGAGCACCAAAAATAATCGCAGTCCTACGTCAATAATGCGGTCATGTCTTGGCACAACCTTTAAATTTTTTTTTATAAACGGTTATTTTCATTGTTAAAAACTACAAGGGTTGTACGTAATGGTGCCGTAGGACGGACTTATATAATAAATCTTATTTATTAACTGCAGCAGGAGCTTGTGTTTTGTGTAGGAATTGGAATTTGAGCGGGGTTCTCTATGTTTATACTCTTTAGTATGACTTTAGCTTGACATAGATTCCGATCAATAGCGGTGCGGCTTCTTCCTCCTTCTATGGATGCTCATGTCGGCTGCAGCTCGGTACTTGCAGGCAGCCTTTCGTTGTGTACTGGAGAACACCACCACTCACCACGCGGTGTTTCAATAAACACCGTTTGGTGAGACCGGATGGAATTCAACTTTAAAATCTGTGTTAGGGAAATCGCTTTTCGCAGGCAATCGGTAATAATTTTCATTCGTGCAATTTTCAATAGTGACATTTTGAAAAAAAAAATGATAAAGTCTTAAATTTGATGCGTCGAAATATTTCTGATCGATTGGTGATAAAATTATTTAAATTGGTCCAGGGGCAGCTGAGTTATTAACGTTCAAAATCTTTCATAATTTTGTTGCATGTTCCATTTTTGGTTTTCACAAACCTACGTCAAAAATGCAAGAAAAAATGTATGTACATAAAAATCAGTTCTGTCAAGTAGATAATAGCGATTGGTAGATATAACCCACCGCACAGCTCGGGAGATAGCTGTATCTTGCATATGAATTGCTGTATGAACCGTCAAAAACCTATGCTTTTACGCGGTTGCACTGGTGTTCGTGAAATCCTGCTTGGAGTATTGGTGCTTTAGCATGTAATAATATAAATATTAACAAAATAATGCCGTTTCACTAACATCAGTAAACACTATCGAAAATTGTCGATACAGTTGACATCTGTCAATGTTTTACAAAACACAATGTTAATACCGTTACCATTATGAACTGTAAACTAATCAGTAATGTACCGTTAAGTACACTACCTTTTATCATCGTGATTAAAATTTGGGATCGCTTCGTTATAATAAAGTAGTGATTTTAGGAAAATGCCATTTCATGAACATTAAATTAATTACTAGCAGTAACAAGGAACATTCCAGTCGTCATCAAACATATACGTCATGTAAAATTTTAATTCATCTTATCTTGCCGCGAAATCTTACTGTCATCCGAAGAGCTTTCGAAGCTTCCATGTTTTTATTTTCTTTCGGATTCGGAGTTTTTTATCACGAAATGCAGAAAACATTATCGACTAATCGTACGTAAGAAAAGGCGCAAAATAAGAAACTAAATTTCGTGTGGCCCTGAAGAAACAATTTTGGGACATTCTACTCTGTGTCACAAAAAAGGCAGATTTTGAACGGCGCCGTTTATTTTATATCGAAATGGTGCAACATAATTCTAAAAAATCACTCTACTCACTCATCATTTCAATAGCGGTCATTTCTACGATTTCAGGAAAACCGCAATCACTTTGAATAACTTTTATTGGTCACTTTTTTTTACACACTACACTTGCACACCATTGACAACAAGATTCGGATGTTTATTTATGGACGCTGATTTTGACTTTTCAAAATGTCAAAAGGTGTAGCAGCATATCCTCCCAATTCCACACCACCCACCACCCTCCTGTTTGCTAATAGAAAACAACTATCGTATGTGTGTGTGTGAGAGAGTTGGTACGTTTCATGTCGCACGTAGCTGGGGTTGTTTATGTTTTGGAGCAACGAAAGCTTTTGAACGCACATTCCCCGGCACAAGTGCAAGTGCGTTGCGCATTTCACACCAAACTGGACAAATAGGCGCATTTTCACTTATTTATTATTATGTGTGATAAAAGTGTCTAATCGTCCTGGTGTCTTCGATGCAAGCAAAAAGTACTCCTAAGGCCGTTCGCAATGCTGAGTTTCAAAATTGTTTTAAACGACTCGACAATTCTATAATTTGAAACTGTCAAAAATAAAACTGCAACACGATCAGCGCAACGCACAGTTTTAAAAGATGTTTGTAATCATCAAGTTCCATAAACTTTACTGTTCCCCATGAAGTTCATAGAGTTTTTTTTTGTGAAATTCTTCGAAACATCTTTAAATACATACCGAAATTTGAAACAGAGTTCCATTCGTGTTTCAAACTCGCTCAGAAATAAAACACAATAGTCGAGCAGTTGCAAATTTGGTGCAAAAAAGTGCTCGAATAATGAAACTGCAACTTAGCATTGCGAGAGATGCGTTTTTGTTCTAGTTTCAAATTGAAACAGTCCTTATAAAATATAACAGCATTGCGAACGGCCTAAGACACCAAAACAATTGCACTTTTATCAAACTTTTTTTTTCTCTTTTGGGGAATTCGCTAATAAACACGAGGCGCATTTCTTATAGCAAACATGCCATAAGAAAATGGGCATGGTTCATTTAAGTAAACAAACTAACACTTCTTCCGACTGTTACACCTATGTATTAGCCGTCTCGATGCTAGCTGCTGTGCCTATGCATCTGTCAAAATGAGGAGCTTTTATGCGATATTGCCATTATTTTTCCTTGGGTCGTGGGTAGCATTCTGGTGGGGTTCGTTGTTTACATGTTTTATGCTGCGCTCATCCTAGACGTATGCACTTGATGGTATTCTTATCAGTGAGTTCGGTGGCTTTTTGCTCGAAGAATTATTGCTTGTGGCTCATGGTAATTATTATTCGGTACCTCAAAGATGGCAGCTGAATTCCTGGCTGAGAATAATGTTTGCGGTCAGACGATTCTGCAGGTAGTCGCCGAAGGAAATACGATTATTTGCGAATTGCTGCGTTTGAAGGAATTCATTCCGGAGGTGTTTTGGTAAGTGGATTGGATATTTGCTTCGAAGAGTTTCCGTTCTTGACTATCCTTTTCTGTTCTAGTCTGAAAACTAAAGAAGAACAACAGAAATATGGAGAGATTATTATGGACTTTAGCTATTTCCAAATTTCGGATGCACAGGAAGCAAAGATTGAAGCTGATGAGAAACTGCAAGCTCTGGACGAGGAGATCCGGGAGAACTATTTGGTCATCTTGAATCGATTCTACATAGTGTTTGAGAGTATGCATAGGTATATCAAGGATCTGAATACGTTTATAGAGGAGCTGAGTATGGGCATGTTTATTCAACAATCAATGGAGAAAGTATTTCAGGACGAGGAAGGAAAGCAGCTTATGGTAAGGGATTTGCAAAATATGACCAATAACTTTATAATTTAATCCTCGTTTTTCTTTGTCAGTGTGAAGCTCTGTACCTGTACGGTGTCATGCTGCTGGTAGTTGACCTTCAAATACCCGGCGTGGTTCGTGAACGCCTTCTCGTAGCGTACAACCGGTACAGTGCCTTGAAAACCGACGGCGACAGTAACATCGACGAGGTGTGCAAACTTTTGCGTTCCACCGGTTTCAACGATGGTAGCTCTAATGCGAAGAAGATCCTCACCTATCCGGAGGACTACTTCAATCGTATCCCGGTCAATGCAATCTACGTGGAGATGGTCATCGGGAGACTTCGATCGGACGATGTGTACAATCAGATTTCGGTATACCCGCTGCCTGAGCATCGTTCGACGGCATTGGCCAATCAAGCCGGTATGTTGTACGTGTGTTTGTTTTTCGCCACCAATACATTGCACAACCAGGCGGCCAGGATGCGTGAGATTGTGGATAAGTTCTTTTCCGATAACTGGATCGTGTCATTCTATATGGGAATCACCGTTAGCCTGCTGAGTAAGTCTTTGATAGTGCGTATTAGACGAAATCTGATTCTGATTGTTTTTCCCCAGATGCATGGGATCCATTCAAGGCGGCAAAATCTGCTCTTCTCAACACATTCGACACTGCAAATTTGAAAGAAATTTGTACAAAGCAGAAGCGTTCGTTGGACACTTTGCTCAATCGAACGAGAAACATTCTCAAGGAAGGTAACCTTACCGAGCAAAAGCTACTGGATAACATTCCAAAGGTAACACCACTGATCCGCGAGTGCAACTTGACCGTACGTTGGGTAATGCTGCATACCGGAACACCAGTGATCGACATCGGCAGTCCGGCTTCGTTGAAGAAGTGCAAACAGGTAAAGGATCTGATAGAGGCTGATATTGATTTCAAAGGGATCGAATTTTTTGAACTGTTGTTGAACACTGCGCAACTGGAATCGAAGATAAGGGATATTCTGAAGACTTTACTGGATGAGCGGTTGCAACGATGGGAGAACTTCAAGAAGGAAGCTTGTGAACGAATACAGGACCTGGTAGATGCTTATTCTGGTGAGAAACCTTTCGGAAAGATGAAGAAAAATACCAGCCTTAGCAAGTGGTTCGTAAACATTCGAAAAGAGATTGACACGCTTAGTAACGAGGACAAATTGCTGAGTGTTTCTGGCAGGACAATCATCCAACTGATTCAGGCTCTGGAGGAAGTGCAAGATTTTCATGATCTGAGCAAAAATATGCAAGTCAAGCAAAACATTGTGGAAACTCGACAATATCTCCATCAGATGTTCCACACAATCAGCATTAAGGAGGATGATTTGATAAATCTACAGTTGATTGGTGATTTCAGTTACGCTTGGCGATTAATCGACAGTTACACCCCGATGATGCAGGAGAACATCAAAAAGAATCCAAGTTTGGTCATCAAATTACGATCCACTTTCTTGAAATTGGCTTCCGCGCTAGAAATTCCACTACTTCGGTTGAATCAAGCTGAGAGCGAAGATCTCATGGATGTTTCCAAATATTACAGCAACGAGCTGGCAAACTTTGTCCGAAAGGTAGTACAGATCATTCCGGAAACCATGTTCACAATCCTGGCCCAAATCATCGCCCTGCAGACGAATGTGATCAAACAGATTCCCATGCGATTGGAAAAGGAAAAGATGAAGGAGTACGCTCAGCTGGATGACCGTTTCATCATCGCCAAGTTGACCTACTCGGTTTCTACGTTTACGGAAGGGATCCTGGCCATGAAAACCACACTGGTAGGGGTGGTTGAACTTGATCCGAAGCAACTGCTCGAAGATGGCATCAGAAAGGAATTCGTAAAAAACGTTTCCGATGCCTTTCACAATAATTTAACCTTTAATCCGAAAGCGAAAGAATCGGAGCTTGATGCAAAACTAGCTGCACTGCACAGAATAATTGATGGCTACAAGCGATCTTTTGAATACGTCCAGGACTATCTGAACATTCATTGCCTCCGCATATGGAACGAAGAAATGCAGCGGATCATCAATTATAACGTGCAAAGGGAATGCAATCCGTTCATGAAGAACAAAATTCAGGAATGGAATTCCGAATACCAGAGCGATACGATACCGATTCCTAGTTACGAACCAGCGGATATGGCATCGATTACATTCGTAGGCAGATTGGCACGGGAAGTTTTGCGTATAACCGATCCCAAGTAAGTTCCTAGCTTTCAAGCTTCATACCATTTCCTAAACGACATTTCCAATTTTCAGAGTAACCACCTACATTGAAATCTGCAGCACCTGGTACGACCACAAAACCCACAAAGCTGTCCTGACGAACAAATTTGCCAGTCGCATAATCGAAACCTTCGGGCCACCTGGCTTAGTCGGGCTGGATAAACTCTACTCATTCTTGATAACGGCAGAACTTGAAAATTTCCTGCTCACCATTCAGCGCAAACTTCAACACGAACCCGTTTGGTACGACGCTCTGAACAATGTCGAGTCCGAACTGCATAAATCGGACTTTATTGAAACCCCAGCAAAAACGTACGCCAATCTCACAACTACCTTCACTCGCATTTGGCCGCAGCTGCAAGACTGGATCCTGAGAATCGGTCAGAAGCAGATTCTTCGAACGCACATTGCATTCGAATTGAACTGCAGCTGTAAGGTTAAGTCTACCAAGCTGGAATCATCGCTAAGGGCGTTGAACGACGCGATCCTGATGGATGTCAAACGCCATACGCTGGACGTGAACAAGCCTCTTCCCAGTGCTGATCTGGCGTTCGAATTGAATCAATATCTGGAATGTGCCGGGTTGTACAACCCTTACAGGAAAAAGTACATCAGCACAAAGAGCCCCCCATTTCTACCGCTGTTGGCGTTCCTGTTTGTAATTGTGCATTTACCACGATTCCAGTACATGAAAAACGTGGACAGTTTGATAGCCAAGAAAAAGAATGATCTCATCGATGGGTTTCCCAGCGTGATTGGTTTGCTAACATTGTTCAGACAATTCCAAGTGACGGAGATGGATGTTTTCATCCAGTATTTGTGCCAGTATGTGATGTCCTTCGTAGATGTCAACCTGAAGTAAGTACAATGACAGTGTAATAGTAATTGGGGGGAAATGTAAAATGTTCGTGTTTCATTCTAGAGCAAAGCAAGAAATTTGTCACGAAGCGGTGATGACTTTGCGTTTCCTGGAGATATTTACACGCGTAGCGGAAATTCAACGCAAGCAACTGGAGCGATACATTCCGGATTCGGTTTTGAACCAGTATGAATTTCTCTCCGGGGGCAAATCTTGACCTTCGGGCGATTGGTGGTGTATTGGGAGTTGAGGAAAGATTTATATTTGAGAATGTAAATACAGTTATCAATTGTTCTATGTATTTGAATTTGAACATACAATAAAGTATCAATTGCGTTGTTTTATTATTATTATTGGTTACCTTAAGCATTTAACAATGTATTTCAAGAGAACCATGTTTGTTGAGACGTAAGTAAGTATTGGATAGAATTTTGATGTGGGTAGGTTATTAATCCGTGAAAAGGGGGGGGGGGGTTGGAGGTAGCTCATCGATTCTTCCGGTTCGCCTCCTAGCATCGTGCTATAAGGTACCAGGCGATAACCAGGGTAGTTGATCGATAGCTCGATGACGTCATTTCGTTGGCGTCTGCAATGGGAAATTCTCATAGCAGGCGTTGACGATGGGACGTTGTCGAGTTGTTGAATAGCAACTATCGTGGTAACTCACCGATTACCTGTCGATCTGCCAAATTTGGAAAGACGTCTGCATTGAATTGTCTCATATAATAATATTCCGCCCACTATATCACAAGAAATTGCGAGTAGCTGAGTGGAATGGAGATAAGTTAAGCATTGGGTACAGGACCAAGTCTCCCCTGGGTGGTGCCAGAAGATGAGCGCAATAGAATCATCAAGTTGCCATAAGGCACGGAATGAGACTATTGCATGGCTGGGTAGTCAAAGTCTTCCATTCGTTAGTCATTTCAGGTGGATTAGAACAGGTTTAGGTTTAGGGTGGGCGTTGGCCAGATTTGGATAATCCTAAATAGGACCTAGATTATTTAATACACTAGTAACCTCAACTTCTGTCACAATGTTTCATTGTGACTAACCAACACTCAATGGGTAAAATATCAAATTTGAGGTAAATTTGAAAAAAGGTAACTTGGAGTGTAGAGCGCTCTGCCCACTGGACGATTCTGAAGCCTGACCAAGTGAGTGGGTTACCGGTTTATTTGATTGTACGTCATTTCCAAGTTATATATAGATACATTCATACCATTGGCATTTTGTATTTGAGATAAGACAGAAACAGGATGCGGAGGGCCCGCTTAGGGGGAGCGTAACCCATGTTATGGCTTCCATTTATTAAATAGTTCAGATAGGCTGGAAATGATAGGTTCATGGTGAGAAAATGTACCATATGGTGCCCGTTCACTGATCAAAATTAAATTAGATTCAAATCGTCAGGCCCTGCCCTGTAATAAGGGGATTGACGATGATTTGTCAAGTTTCATTTTGCATTTGCATATAATTGTAAGTTTAGGTTTGCTTTTGTAATTGTAAGATAGATAGTTTGGCTCAATTGAAACATTGAGTTGTATTAACTTGACGAATCATACCTCTAAAATAGTAGTAGTTACAGTGCCGCATTATCTAACAACCACTGCCTGCAACTAATGTTGGAGGGGTCAGCAGGGCTGATTACGGATCAAAACTAACATAACTCTAACACTGAAATGATCCCGAAACTAACGCTCATTCATTGCACTTTGAGTCATAAAGTAGTTTTATTTATTTTCCTACTAATCTATCTACACACTTAGTTTTTCAACCAAGCTCGGCTGTGCGGGTCTCGGCGGGGAGGGGGTTTCGCTGAGATCTCGGCGGGAGTGACATTTGATTGCTGAGTCTCGGATCACGATGGAAAATGAACAGGTGGGCAGGAACTCACAGTCTCCCAGTGTTGGTGAGTTCTTTGCCGTTAATGTTCACGAAAAGTTCACTATTTTGCTATACAGAAATTCAAAACAAAAATTTTATCTGCGGATTTGAACAGTTTTTGACCTGTTTCATACTACCGGAAGGTGTATGCTGGTCACAAATGCCGTGCCAAACTGATTTCCTACTCAATTAATCAATCTTTGATGTGAAATTCGCTAATAAACACGAGGCGCATTTCTTATAGCAAACATGCCATAAGAAAATGGGCATGGTTCATTTAAGTAAACAAACTAACACTTCTTCCGACTGTTACACCTATGTATTAGCCGTCTCGGTCTCGGATAATGCCTTTTCTAATAATCTGCCTACATTTCTTTTCTTTATTACCTACTTCATCCCTTTTTTGTTTTTCTGCTCTTCTTTCCTCTTCTATTCTTTTGTTTTGTTTGTTTATATATAACTAATACTAATACCTCCTTGTTTTCTCTCAAATTTGTCTACTGTGTCCCACCATCACGATGAGAGATGAGCTACCGTACATGGTACACGCTACTATACACTCCCAAAATAGTATGCCGCAAGTAAGTATATCACAGAGGCAACTAAAGATCCAGAAAACCGATAACGCTGAAGATAATGAGCTGTGGTGATTTATATGACTATATAGTATTATTTATTTATACTAACCTAAACACAACGTGGGGTGACCCAAATCCAAACGATCACTAACCAAAATAATAGACTTATCTTTTTTCAGCAGCACTACACCAGCCAGCAAAGTACAACAATCCACCGTTGCTTATGCCTTTGTTGTCGTTTGGAACCAGTTTTGCGAGGTAGGCAACGATTGTGCGTACTTCTCGCGTAACTTTTTAAAAGAGCCTATTTATAGCCTGAACAATACGTAAAGAGTAAATTGAAACATTGAACGTCGCGTGAAAGTGGAAGTTAATGAATGCCTAAGTACTTTATCGTAGTTTTTAGTTTTCGGATTTGAAAGATCATCGGTTACAGTGGCCAGCTTACAGAGCAGAAAAACGCGGTCCCAGGTCCTTACATATCAAAGAGATTTATGGTAAAATCGCTTGTGTATCGTGTATTTTGGGAAACTCGTTGTTGTCGTTGGTTCCGGGTTTGAATGGATACAAAAATTTGAGCAACGGTATTATGTGATATGAGGGGCTCGGTGGCCTTAGAGCAACCGTTTTTGCTTACTGAGCAGAATATCATGAGTCTAATCTCAGGCCCATCCGCATTCAAGATTCGTCAATCGTTTTATTTGTGTTCGGGCGCGGCCGGCGCTGGTATTGCCTAATTTAAGATCACCAGTTTTTCCACATTGAGGATGATTGCTAGTCCCAAACATCGTCTATTGGTTCTCTGTGTAATTACAGCTGATCTGGCAATAACAGAATAGCAACCGTGGGCGGTCAATCAAGCTCAAGCTCAAGTAGGTTATTAATCCGTGAAAAGGCTTTGCTATGATAGGGAGGTTAATATTAATTGGGGCCTTTCTTAGTTCAGTCGGTAAAGGCGCAGCTACAAAGCAAGATCATGCTGAAGGTTGTTGGGTTCGATTCCCGGTCCGGTCTGGGAATTTTTCAGGTTGGAAAAGTTCTCGACTTCCCTGGGCATAAGGTATTGTACTTGCCACAGAATTATACCACAGACAAACAGACATAACACTCGTAAGTTGTTCATCGAACAAGCATTTAACGAACAATTTAAAAGTATCGTAGTTGGTAGTACCGCCACCTGTGGCGCGCATAGTCAATTCCCTTGCGTTTGACGTTTACACACTACCGCCATCTGTTCAACGTAGTGCCCACCACTGTGTACTCAATAGATGGCGGTAATGTTTTAGTGACGATGTTTTACAGTGAGAAATATTCAATGTGTTATGTCTGTTTGTCTGTGATTATACTATCGCAAAAATGGTTCAGGCGAAAGCTCTCAATTAATAACTGGGGAAGTGCATCTAGAACGCTAAGTTGAGAGCACGCAATAAACTAATATGCGATAAGCAATAAGCTTAAAATGCGAGGAAGAAGAAGGGAGATTAACAGCAGTAAACTATCTGTTTTAAGATGGGTCAATATAAAATTCAACTGGACGTCAGCATTCTATAATAAAAAGTAATGAAAAAGCCCCAAAAGAGCGATTTATCACTGGTAAAGAGTTATGAGTGAATTTTAAAGGTAGTTGAAACATAGACACATTTTGAAGAATTCGAACGCAGAATCAAATTCGAGCCAGAAAAAATGCTGCTGACTTATATTGAAAAAAACTATCAAGAATCTTAGACAAAATATTTGAAACACCGAATTTGGATTGAATTTTTAAATTCTTATATGATTTTTCAAAACAGATATTTCATTTGAAATCTATATGTAGGTATATAAATTAATTTCTGTCTGTCTATCTGACCCTTATAGACTCGGAAACTACTGAACCGGTCGGTGTGAAAATTTGTATGCAGGGGTTTTTGGGGCAGGGAAAAGTTCCTATGATGGTTCGAGACCCCTCCCCTCTTTTTAAGGAGGGCTCCAATACAAAAGAAACAGAAATTTCTGCATAACTCAAGAACGAATCAAGCAAATGGAACCAAATTTGGCATGTGGAGGTCGAATATTGAGCAAGGCCGAGCACACTCAGCTAGTTTAATATAATAGTGCTGTTCGATATAATAGCAGCGCATGTCGATTTTCATACAAAATTGACAACGTTTACACGTTGTAATTTTGTTCTCTTAAGATCAAATGAGCTGAAACGTTCGCCACAGAACTACACATATGTTCAATACAAAATACCACATTTTTGTAAGCACCTGCCGGAAAGCGAGATACTTGGTAAAAATCTTCGAAATAAAAGCAGTTTTTGATTTGAAAACTTATGTAATGCAAATAGATTAAACGTGTTAAACTAATATGTACATTTGTTGATTAGATGGGGATTGCTTGGAATTTGAGAAATTTAAAATTTAATATCTAAAAATTGAGCTGAAATGCAAATTCATAAAACTGCTATTATTATGTCACCAAACCTCGGACTTAGCTTAAGGTTCAATTTACTTTGATGCATTTTTTAAAAATTCAAAAGCAGTTTTTTTCGACGCATTATTTTAGATTGCAAAAAGCTCGCGTCATTTTGTGTAAAATATCAGAAGGAATCGAATAGTGCGAGCTTTTTGCAATCTGAAATAATGCGTCGGAAAAAACTGCCTTTGAAATTTTCCAAAAAGCATCAAAGTAAATTGAACCTTAAGAACTCTATAAACGTCGAACAATTTTACCTAGTATTTCACTTTCCGGCAGGTGCTTTCAAAAATTTGGTATTTTGTAATCGTAAAATTGAACATATTTGTAGTTATGTAGCAGACGTTTCGGCTCAATTGATCTTAAGAGAACAAAGTTACAACATGTCAAAGTT